ATGTCTGCAAATTTCAATCTGTAGGCTACTAAAGAATCGAAAAAGTTCTGCCCTGAAGCTATCAGTTTTCTGCAAACTCTTTTGGTAACATCACTTAAAGGAGAAGTGAGCAATCAGGTAAGTATGAATCCAGTTGTTGAGCATACATTTCAGCTTGCTGCTTCATATTAAGTTGAATCTTCTTTGGTATAGATCAATGACCAGTTTATGGAGCTCAAGACATTGAAACCATGGCTTCATATCAGTGAGCAAGTGCATGAGGTGAATCGTATGAATATCCTCGACCTAATGAGCATGGATCCTGATTCCCCATTCTTCGCATCAGATAATTTCAAGTGAGCACCTGGTCTTAGTGGACTCACGATTGGACACTGGAAGTTGTCGTTTTACATGTTATATATTTATCTTATAAACATACATTTTCTGACAGGGCTGGTGTACTTCTGTCTGTGGCTGAATGTTTGAGGGGCTTTGTAATTATACATGAAGGGCTCTGCTCTTTTCCAGAAATTTTCATGCCAGTTTCTTCTCTGCTGCAACAAATTATGGAAAAATCCGAGTTGCCTGCCCTGTTACAAGAAATTTTCCAAGATGTCATCGACTTGATTAAGAAGAGAAGTGACGAACACCATGCTTCAAGAGAGCCACTCCAAATGCGGAAGCAGAAGCCTGAACCAATCAAGCAGCTGAATCCCAAATTTGAGGAGAAGTATGTATACTTGTCATTCCTTGTTGCCAGTTTCTTGTCGTTGTTGTGCTCTGTTTTGGCCTGTCCTGTTCTGTTGTTGGAAAGGTCTAATTGTGCATTTCACACATCCTTCTTCTCTTTGGTGCAGTTACGTAAAGGGTCTTGATTACGATCCTGACCGAGAAAGGGCACGCCTGAAGAAGCTGGCGAAACAAGTGAAGAGCGAGAAGAGAGGTGCGATGTCCGAGCTTCGCAAAGATAGTTATTTCATGGCTGCTGTGAAACAGAAGGAGAGGGCGAGACACGAGCAAGAGAGGTCTGAAAAGTATGGCAAAGCAATGGCTTTTCTTCAAGAACAAGAAAGCGCTTTTAAATGCGGGCAGATGGGAAAAGGCAAAAAAAGGAGGAGGTGATGATATGCTGATCATGTTGCTATCACAGTCCAGTTTGCGCTGGGTATTGGAGATAGAAAATTAGGCATGCACCTGGTGACCCTGGCATGCCCCGCTTTAACTGCCTTTGCCACTTCCATGTCGAAGACACGCCGGAAAGAGTAATCATGTCGCAAACGCTGATGTGGATGGACGCGTTATGTTTCTTGCACTTGAGAATGAGTTGCTCCGGAGTGCTGTACTCGTGCAATAGTAGTAATCTGATGTAACGCAGGAGCGATTTTGTTTGCTTTTTTTGTCCTGATTTCTTGTATGCAGTGTTACTCTTCAGACTTATGTGAACCAGTCCTGTTCATCTTGTTGCTTTTCCCAAATTAATGGGAAGACATCCTACACTGCAATTTAATCATTGGCGATACACTACTGTTCAATGCCACTTTGAGTGACGGGTGCCCTTTTTGGCATGGTTTTCTTCTCTCTAAACCTTGTAGCATGCTCATCAGATGCAAATTACATCTCCTTCGTCTCCTGCATCTGGCTGGAGCAGCTTCAAGTTGTCACCATCTCACTGCTTCAAGTGGCCACTAAGCCTGTGCGTGCGTGCGCACACCAAACTCCTCTGCAAATCATGCGAGCCACAAAGCTGCTTTCACTACTCAGCAATGCCTTGAGCTCTTCCGACCTCACCACAGCGTGCATTATTTATGTATCAGTCTTGCTTCCATGCCTTTCCTTTTCCCATATGCCTTTTTAGGTCAGACGTCACCAATCATGGAGCACACAGGTGGCGCCAATCAGCCATCGCAAGACGGCCCAAAAGCAGCACTACACATGAGGACCCAAAAGGTAAATATACACCCCAAACTGACTCTCATTGCGTGCTACCACTACTATGCCTGTTTCATGGTTCTGGCCTGGCTTGGTCTTCGCTTCTGGCTTTCTCTCCACCCATCAGCAGGCGTCGCGGTGCACCGCGACATCGATCGATCGGAGATCGCATATCGGAGCTAGTGTGAGATGACAGGGCAGCAGGTCATCAGACACAACACAGGAGCTGAATTTTGCTTTTTCACGGTGCTTATTAGTTATTACTCGGTTTTGTTAGGATACAGACAAAGGCTAATGCAACATGTCCTTATCAGCAAAGCTTCGGCGAAGAAGAAGATTGATGATGATAGGGGATGATGCTTTTTGGCTACTGACCTGCATCTGCTCGCCCTCCACAGAACCGGATGCCCGTTGCTGTCGTGCAGATTCCGGTGGCTGGATAGGATAGCCACAATAATTCCAGCAACCAAGCAGGCCGACTTGGCCTTTCGTTTTCGGCATCATCATCATCATCATCATGGAAGATGGAACATGGCGAAATTCCATGGCCTTTTCTTCACCTGATTCTTTTTTTGGAAAAGATGACATGTTCTCCGAGGCGGTAACGGTTCCGGATTCCTTATTGGTAATGCTTCCTACACTTGTATTTACACTCTATGTACAATGCATATTTAGAGGTGATGATGGTCTATAAGCAACACAATATAATGTATGTAAACTAACTCTGCACTACTGGAGCCAAATGTAGGCTCCAATTCTCACAGACCGCTTCAGCAGTTAATGCTTGCCAGAGAAGTTCTCCGATGAGAGCATTAACGCACAAACAAGCCAAGACTAGAGAGAGACCTTGGCCGGAATAAGTTTGCGAAGAGGAACCATGTCGGGGACTCTTTCTTCTGAGGTGCTGGTGCCTCAGGGTGGCCTTTCACCTGAATGTTATGTCCTATGGCTTCCCTGATGGAATCAATGGTCTTCTGGTCAACTACCTCCCCCGCAGAACTGCGGACGTAGAATGTGTTGACGGCTGTCCTGCCCTTGGTGCTCACCTCTGCTCTTGTGACAGTCAGGCTGTTCTCCCGGAAGATGCGCGTGACCTCAGATAGGAGGCCGACCTTGTCATTTGAACACAGCTCAAGTTTCACACCCTGGAAAGCCAAAATTTGGGCTTCGTAAGAAAATAATTCTGGTAAAGTTACCTTTGATAAGTTCATGGATCGTTACCTCAGATACCCTGCGCTCAATTGCACTTTCAAGGCACTGGATGACTCTCAATCTTTCAGCTTCAGTGTTCATTGGAGATCCATTCACATGTCTTACATAGAATTCCTGCAGAAGAGTGTATCAAGGTCACACATTTTCTTGTATGAAATCTTATGAGCCTACATGGTAGCAGCGACTGCCCGGTCCGGATATATCGGGTTGTGTGTATTCACCTGGTACGCCTGATTATTGTTGGCGTCAATGTTTGCATGGTAGACAACATAGCGCAGGTCTGTCAAGGTGCAAACAGTATCGAACAGAAGCTTCGGCCTGTCCTTGCACCTGATGGTCACCACCGAGTAGTCCTTGTCTTTCCAATTCCGAACAGTGACCTTAGGCCTCTGAGGTTGAGCTGGGACATGCCCATGAAACTCTTCACAGTCCCCGTCACTAAGCATCATCTGGTGCAGCCTTCTGTCGGTATGTGTGGCAGAAGTCCCCGATGCTTCTGCCATGGCAGCTCCTCGCGAGAGATTGTTTCCTCGGAGAAGGTAGGATAGTCGCTCCTTGATCATTTCAAGCCTCACGGTATCGGTGACGGCTAGCATGGTGTCCTCATCAGTGACTCGCATCACGGCTGCAACTCTGGTGTTATGGGTCCAAATTTCAGCACTGACCACATTGCATTTGAGGCTCGCAAGCACCGCGCTGACTTCAGAGAGCAGGCCTGGACGATCGCTCCCTGTCAGCTCAATGACATTGTGGTCGGTTGAAGCGGCGACACCCACCGATCTCCGTTTAGCAGGCATGTATCTTGAATCTGCGCCCAAGGACTACACATTCAAAGAATGTTTCAATTGTCAGTGAGCTGGAATGTTGGATAATCATACATGACTGGTGAACTGAAAATGGCAAGATTGCTCTCAGGATTACATACCTTCCGGATGTAGCCCTCAATCTCCGCAATAGCAGCCTTGTCTTTCAATTTCAGCCCTTCCTTATCAGTCACATTGAAAACTGAAACAGCACGAGTTTTTACCAAATCAGCAAAAAGGGGCAAGGAAATCGAGGGTACCATTTATTAGATTTTATTTGGTGTAACACCTTACCATCCATGAACCACCCCCCATCTGAGGTTATGTATGCCTTGCTTATCACAAGATTGAGATCCATGAGGACTTGGATCACTTCCAGCAGAATCCCATACTCGTTTGCACTGCCAACCTACAATTGCAACCACCAATAAAGAAAGAAATAAATCAAACCAGCACACCTGACTGCAATCTCTGTCACAGAAAACCATGAACTAGTAGGAAATTAAACATACCTTGACAATCGTCGCGTCCGCCAACGAATCGTTGTCGATGATGATACTGCAGTTAACGAGACATACAGACCGGGATTAAGAAACAAGACCTGATGGTAAAAACTGGAGGGTAATCTTTTTGGGGGTGCAGAAGCAGAAGCAGAAGCAGAGACAGCAGCATGTGAATGTGGATGCACCTCACCTTGGCGGGTTCATCTTGCGTATGAAGTTGTCGTACTCGTCGTCGCTGTCCCAGGTAGGGCCATAGCCTTCATCTGTCACATGGAACCATTAATTAATCACGGTACGGCCTCGGCGTTGGCGACGCGGCAAGAAACGTGTGGAAATCGAAGGGGGACACAACAGGAACCAGCAAATCAGAGTTAATTAGTACTACGATTTTTATTTCGAATCTGTGCAGCGGCGATCGAGGGCCATGGAGGGCCGGGGATGGAATAGCTGAATATATTCCAAGAATGTTTTTTCTAAAAAATGTATTCCAAGAATCAGGAACAAACGAACAGGGCAGAAACAGAACCAGAACCCTAGCCATCAAGGAGATTAACAGGGAAATGGAGGCAGAGATGCAGCGACGAAATGGAAGGGGACCGGAAAAGCAGAGTGCCGCCGCAGGGAGGAAAGCAGTTTGGAGGAGGGCGGCGGAGGAGGAAGAAGACGGGTTACCAATGGACATGGCGGGCGGAGAGGAGCGGAGGCCAAGAACACTTGTTCTTCACTTTCTGACGAGTGATTGCTCTTTCTCTGTCTCTGTTCCTCTGCTTCTTCTTCTTCTTCTTTCTCGGGGCTCAGTTGGGAGGCGCGCGCGCTGTGGGTGCGCGATTGGCTGGCGCTGGCTGGCTGGCTGGCGATCCTAGAGAGAAGGGGAGGAGAGAGAGGGGAGTAGGTGGTAGAGAAGAGAGGAATGGCTGGCCCCCTCTCGCTGACCCTCTTGCAGTTGTTGGGCACGGCGCTTCCCTTCCTCTCTCTGCCCCTGCCCCCAGAATCCTGGGCTGGGAATCGGCCCTGCGGGCAGTTTTTACATGCTGCCTGCGCCTTTTGCACGCCGGACCCTGGCTTTCTGTGAAATATGCGCGCAAGTCTTCGGCTCGGCGGCCACGAGGGGAGTATCGCAAATTGCTGTTCCTCTAGGGGGCGGTGGGCCTTCTATATGTCTATGGTTTTCCGCGCGCTAAGATCTACGTGTCATGGTAGCCGTGAACGCTTGAAAACGAGAGAAGGCGAGGGCAACAAGGAAAGGTGGACACACAGCTGGCGCACAGCGTGCAAGGGCATACTGCCGAAATCATCTTGTCGTCGTTTACGAACGCATCCCATGCGCGTGCGGATGCCGATGATCAGTTCTTTTTAGATAAGTGTGCCACGACATAATCTTTTTCTTCTAGAATACGCGCGCACACACACACGTGCGTATCGTCTATTAAAGGGGAAGTGGGTAAAGAGCCCGTCCATGCTACATCATCACGCTACAAATGCGGTGGTCACACATCCACCGTCGAAGGAGCTATTACTCACCAACCGTCCACCTAAAGAACGATGCAAATGAAATTACGTAGCAGTCATGCCATGGCCCACAACCTACCTTTCTCGAGCACTTTCTCGAGGACATGAGCTGGAGGTTGATGCGCCATTAAAGACGAAGTCATTCCTATGTTGCGAGAGCTCCCACGTGACATTGCATTGAAGTCCTTTCGCCTGGCACTTTGTGGGTGCGTGAGAGGTACGCCACTCAACCAGCAGGCTGTCCATAGCATGCATCCAGTCTGGAAATCCTCATGCACTACACAACAGTCGTCCAGCCTAGAAATCCTTATGCGCCAAGTATCTTATTTTGAACCGCCCGTGCGAGGACGTCTGACGGGGTCCTGCACCGAGGGTGACTCTCCTAGGGGAGCCTGGCCTCGGTGCTCGCCAGGGGGGGCACTTGGCCCACAGTATGAAGGAAGCCCTAGGGGAGCGCTAGAGATCTTTATGCCCTCCAAGGCAAAGGATGACGACCCCCAGATCGCATCTACTGCTATGTAAACCCTAGACCTCTTTGCCTATATAAAGGGAGGTCAGGGGCCCCTCCTAGGTCATCTATCATCAAATAGGCAAACTCTTGGTAGCAATCTCATACCCCAATGTAACCCCTCGCATGAGGTATCCATCCACCACGACTAACGAAAACAAGCATGATGTAGGGTATTACTCTATGGAGGCCCGAACCTGGATAAACCATGTGCACGATCTTCGATCCAAGACTTCCAGCTGTGCTCGGACCCTACCGAGAGATCTGACGGGATTTTACACCGTCAGTTGGCGCTAGGCACGGGCAGCGTCGGCTGGAGGCCAATCTTGGAACAGATATTCTTTTGCTTCCGCGACCTTCTGCTGGGAGAGAGCCTAACCTTTGGCTCCTTTAAATTCATAACTGATGGGGTAGGTCGGGTCGACATCAACCCACCGGCCTACCCCATATGCACCATCGACATCGACATCATCATCTTCACCACCAACGCTCACGGCGATCTGCGATTATGCTTTCCACCGATCAATCCCGAGGGTCGGGATAACTTTCCGATCTCAGCGACCTTGCCATCCTGCCTAGGTCGCCTCTCCCTATTCGGACTATGGAACGCGGGACCTGCGTACCAGTAGGAGCTCCATCAACCTCCATTGTAACCCATTGTAACCACACACTAGAAGATTGTTTCCTTGACGAGACAATTTTGGACTACAATATCGACACGACCGATCTACTCTCGCTCTTTGATCATGAGGGTGTTGACAGCGAGCCGACCTCCCAGGAGAACATTGATGTCGAGAAAGTGCTACCTCTTGAGCTTGCATTGGTTTTTTCCTTGAAGAGGAAAGGGTGATGCAGCAAAGTAGAGTAAGTATTTCCCTCAGTTTGAGAACCAAGGTATCAATCCAGTAGGAGACTACGCACAAGTCACCGAATACCTGCACAAACAATCAACAAACTTGCATCCAACGCGATAAAGGGGTTGTCAATCCCTTCACAGTTACTTGCAAAAGTGAGATCTGATAGAGATAGATAAATGGTAAAATAAATATTTTTGGTATTTTTGGTTTATAGATTGGAAAGTAAAGATTGCAAATTAAACGAACGGCGACAGAAATTGGCAAGTTGACGGGAAACTAATATGACGTAAAATAGACCCCGGGGCCATAGGTTTCACTAGTGGCTTCTCTCAAGATAGTAAATATTACGGTGGGTGAACAAATTACTGCCGATCAATTGATAGAAGAGCGCATAATTATGACGATATCTAAGGCAATGATCATGAATATAGGCATTACGTCCATGTCAAGTAGACCGAAACGATTCTGCATCTACTACTATTACTCCACACATCAAGCACTATCCAGCATGCATCTAGAGTATTAAGTTCATAAAGAACAGAGTAATGCATTAAGTAAGATGACATGATGTAGAGGAATTAACTCACGCCATATGATGAAAACCCCATCTTTTTATCCTCGATGGCAACAATACAATACGTGCCTTGCTACCCCTGCTTTCACTGGGAAAGGACACCGAAGGATTGAACCCAAAGCTAAGCACTTCTCCCATTGCAAGAAAAACCAATCTAGTAGGCCAAACTAAACCGATAATTCGAAGAGACTTGCAAAGATATCAAATCATGCATATAAGAATTCAGAGAAGACTCAAATAATATTCATAGATAATCTGATCATAAATGCACAATTCATCGGATCTCGGCAAACACACCACAAAAGAGTATTACATCGAATAGATCTCCAAGAACACCAAGGAGAACATGGTATTGAGAATCAAAGAGAGAGAAGAAGCCATCTAGCTACTAGCTATGGACCCGTAGGTTTGTGGTAAACTACTCACGCTTCATCGGAAGGGTAATGGTGTTGATGTAGAAGCCCTCCATGATCGAATCCCCCTCCGGCAGGACGCCAAAAAAGGCCCCTAGATGGGATCTCACGGGTACAGAAGGTTGCGGCGGTGGGAAAGTGTTTTCATGGCTCCCCCTGGTGTTTTTGGGGTATAGGAGAATATATCGGCGAAGGAACTAGGTCAGGAGACCCATGAGGGGCCCATGAGGTAGGGGGCGCGTCCTACCCCCTAGGCACGCCCACCACCCTCATGGCCGCCTCATTGAGTCTCTGACTTCATCTTCAAGTCTCCTGGTTTGCTTCTGGTCCAAGAAATATCATCACGAAAGTTTCATTCCGTTTGGACTCCGTCTGGTATTCCTTTTCTGCGAAACTCTAAAATAGGCAAAAAAAAACAGAAACTGGCACTGGGCCCTTGGTTAATAGGTTAGTCCCAAAAACAATATAAAATAGCATATAAATGCATATTAAACATCCAAAACAGATAATATAATAGCATGGAACAATAAAAAATTATAGATACATTGGAGGCGTATCAAGCATCCCCAAGCTTAATTCCCGCTCGTCCTTGAGTAGGCAAATGATAAAAATAGCATTTTTGATGTTGAATGCTACCTATCGTATTTATCCATGTAATTCTCTTTATTGTGGCATGAATGTTCAGATTCGTCAGATTCAAAACCAAAGTTTAATATTGACATAAATGTTGGGGATCGTAGTATTTCAAAAAATTTCCTACAATCACGCAAAATCTATCTAGGAGATGCATAGCAAAGGGACGGGAGAGTGTGTCCACATACCCTTGTAGACCGAAAGCGGAAGTGTTTAGTAACGCGGTTGATGTAGTCGAATGTCTTCGCGATCCAACCGATCCAAGTACCGAACGTACGACACCTCCACGTTCAGCACACGTTCAGCTTGATTACATCCCTCATGCTCTTGATCTAGTTGAGGACGAGGGTGAGTTCCGTCAGCACGACAGCGTGGTGACGGTGATGATGATGTTACCGGCGCAGGGCTTCGCCTAAGCACTACGACGATATGATTGAGGTGTGTAACTGTGGAGGGGGGCACCGCACACGGCTAAGGCAAAACTTGGTGTGTCCTAGGGTGCACCCATGCCCCCGTATATAAAGGAGGGAGGGGGATGCCAGACGGCTCTTGCAGGGCGCGCCAGGAGAGGGGAGTCCTACTAGG